TAAGTGAGCTTAGCGGCTGCTTAGGGCCAAGCAGCCACCAGGGGGCATACCATCTGGTTAGAATGGGAAGGGAGATCACAAATGATGACTAGGTTAATCACATTTTCTTAGGGGCCCCAAATGGGTTAGGCCGACCTGGTTATAAGGTTACATCTGGATCACATTCGGGATGGATTGTGTTTCCCGGCAGATCGTGATCGCCACTCCCGGTCGTCTGATTGATGTCTTGGAGAACCGGTACCTGGTGCTTGGCCGCTGCACATACGTGGTCCTAGACGAGGCCGATCGCATGATAGACATGGGCTTCGAGCCGGACGTGCAGAAGATTTTGGAATACATCCCCGTCACAAACCAGAAGCCGGACACAGACGAGGCCGAGGACCCAGAAAAGATGCTGATGAACTTTGAATCTGGGAAGAACAAGTATAGGCAGGTGAGCAAAAAGAGAACCGTTAGCTCTGGTCCTGCCAAGACCAGGGGCTGTACGAGACCGTAAAGGCTTTTCAGTGAGCAGTTAGTGTTGATTAACTTAAGGAAGAATAATTGCTATTCATTAACATCCAAAGGGTTTAGAAAACACCTTTAGTGAGTAAATCCCTTCTCCCTTCAGACCGTCATGTTCACAGCCACCATGCCGCCAGCCGTGGAACGGTTAGCCAGAAGTTACCTACGGCGCCCTGCTGTGGTCTACATCGGTTCTGCAGGCAAACCCCACGAGAGAGTGGAGCAGAAGGTCCTGCTCATGTCAGAGAGCGAGAAGCGGTGAGAGGGCTTCGACCGGTTCCATGAGCTCTAAGACTTGTGTCACGTGCGCTGTGTTCCCTCACTGCCTCGTAAGTCTATTTCTAACCAATTGCTTCTTGCCTTTATAGGAAGAAGTTGTTGGATGTCCTCGCTCGGGGCTTCGAACCCCCAATCATCATTTTCGTCAACCAGAAGAAGGGTTGCGACGTCTTGGCCAAGTCCCTGGAGAAGATGGGGGTAAGAAGAATGCGGAGGACCGCTCAATTTGTTTCTGTACTCAATTGAAAAGATTTATTGACCTCCTGTCCACTTTGAACTGTACTGTACTGGAATGTTCTGTTCTAATGGCACTATGCGCCTCTCCCCCTCCCGCAGTACAATGCCTGCACACTTCACGGTGGCAAGGGCCAGGAGCAGAGAGAGTTTGCGCTCTCCAACCTCAAGGCCGGTGCCAAGGACATCTTAGTAGCCACGGATGTTGCTGGCAGAGGTATCGACATCCAGGACGTATCTATGGTCGTCAACTACGACATGGCCAAGAACATAGAGGGTGAGTCTGCCTGCCTTTGCTTTGCGACATCTGATGGATCGTTTGGTCGAGTTCCCCTTCCTTCGTTTGTTTGTTTGGTTTGTTAATATGTATGTCTGTTTGTTTGTTTGTTTTGCTTTACCTAAGAGCAACAAAAATGGCCCAGTCTGTTTCCCTACTAATACACTTGTAGTTCCTTATGGTCACCCGTAAATGTAAATGGCTGAATGGTCTGCAGAAGCTTGCAGGTTCGAGAAGCGTCCTGACAACAGAACCAGTGTTTATCTCACTAATGAAAAATTTTTCATTGATGAAAGCAAAATGGTAATAAAATATTCAAATTTTATAAATGATGCAGAAAGCTATGGTGAAACGTCCTGACATTGTTGTCAAATGAAATGAAGATGTCAGGAAGCAATGAATTTGAAACTAATCCAATCATAAGTAGTATCTTTTAATTAGTGTTGATTTGTAGTTGCACATGATTGGAAAATGTTGATCTGTAGAGAATAATATCTTGCCATTCCTGACCTCATCGGGGATATTTACTGGTGAACTACTGATAAACTTCCTATACGATTAGATTCTGCACTCTTGCACATTATGCACACATACTGCTAACTCTGTATACATATTGCACTCTCACACATATAGAGTTGACTTGGCTGCTACTTAATAATTGCACTATTTAAGAGCCCTTTAATTTATTATATCATATATATATTACATTACATGTTTAATTATATCATTATCATCATTACTGTTAAAATTAATTACCATATAATTATTACATTACCCAATTGCCATTCTAGTGTTTATTACTTTTCTGTACATACCTTGGCTAATTGTTGTATGTTTTTTGTAATGTCTTCTAAAAGCACCACCAAGGCAAATTCCTTGTATGGAAACATACTTGGCTAATAATAAGGATTCTGGTTCTGGTTCTGATTCTGATCCTCCTCCTCTCTCCAGACTACATCCATCGTATTGGCCGTACAGGCCGTGCAGGAAAGAGTGGCGTCGCCGTGACCTTCCTGACCAAGGAGGACTCGTCAGTCTTCTACGACCTGAAGCAGGCCATCCTGGAGAGCCCCGTGTCCACCTGCCCCCCCGAGCTGAGCAACCACCCCGACGCCCAGCACAAACCCGGCACCATCCTCACCAAGAAGCGGCGCGAGGAGACCATCTTCGCGTGAGGGGCTTCCCCAATATGGCCCCTGGCTCCACCCACCTCGCTCTTCCTCGTCTCCCATTGGTTCGCTTTCATCCACTTCCGTCTTTCGTTTTAAAATCACACTTTTCCCAGGTTTTCCCTCGTGTGTTTTATGGGGAACCCGCTGCTTTTGCCTGGTGGTGCCACCTGACACCAGCCCATTCGGCCTGCTGGCTCCCCCTGCTGGTTACTCAGGTTCGCACATCTGTGCATCTGACTGGGTTCATTCTGGACAATCACCAGGGATTTTTTTTTTTTTTTGCAGGATGTTTTTGAGGAGGGAGCCAGGATTTTTTTGGGGGGGGGGGGTGGCAACAAATGCCAACTATCAAGGTTTTCCTTGGAAATAATTTTTTTCTGTATATTTTTTAAAATGCCAGTTCATTTAAGTTGTTTTGTAGTGTTGTGAAAAGAGTACAGCTGTAAACCTGAATGCAATTAAAAAGTCCTATTAAAACTAGAATATGCTAGTTACCCCTCTCAGTAAATTGGTCTTTAATTAAAATCAGACATGTAAAATGTCTTGTTGTCTTTTAAATAAATTCCCCCCTTTTTGCCATTGGTTTGTATTTTATAGAGAGCCCTGCTCACACTGAGGTAGCTCTTCTTTGGATGCACTGTGTGAGTGTGGAGTTGACTGTGCTGTACCGCAGATATTATACAGCACGGTTTATCATGGTCAGTGGTCTATTCCCTTGGAGTGGTATTAGGTTAATGAAATTAGGTTTATGATGGTAATTAAAACAGAATTCATTTTAATATAATGTATAAAATGTAATAACTCAATGTATGAGACGTCCCTTCTAGTCAGTTGTCTAGTGGCTTAAACACGAATGAGGAACAAGCAACAAAAGACAGCCTGTCTATTCATGGACGGCCGCTCCTGCTTTCCAGCTGTTTCCATTCAGAATCATGTTTCAAGTCTTTTTAGTGGCACGACAGAATGGGATTGTCTGTTTTGTCATGAGCATGTTTTGTTTTCATGAATAATGCGATGATGCATTAGAGTACTTCCTACCGAGGGCATTTTAAAAGGTGATGGATGTCTAGTTCATGGTGCCTCACGCCATGCAAACACTTCTGAATGTGGCTGGGTCACAAATATGGGCACATGTCATTGTCCAGGTGATATTGTTATTGTAAAGTGACTTACGGACAATAAAGCCAAAACCGATTATCTCTGAATTAAGAGGATTAAAACTGAGACGTGGTTCTTGCATAGGTATTGAGTAAGTAAAGCCATGCTCAAGTGTCTTAATGTCTGTAAGTGTAGAAAATTGCCTTAGTGAGGATACCCTTTTTCCATGCTATTGTTTTTGCCTAGACAGGCTGCCCCTCCTATTGGATTAAAACCAAGTATCTGCAGGGATTATTTGTCAGAAGTTAGGGGTTATGTGTATGTGTAAAGACGGTGTGGTAAAGGGACCTCAAACAAGGATTTCAAAAGCATAATGCTGATCTGAATGGGATTCTGGAAGGAAACAGTGTTTCATCAGAAGCAGCCATCTGAAAGCCTGTCTGGGGTGTGTCCGACAGCGGGCCCTCTGTCACTCTCCCCTCCACATGCCCTGGACCTGGGGGGGGGACACGTTAGCCTCAGGTAGAGAGGGTGGTCAGTAAGGCACTGAAGACAGGCCTGCTGTTGGCAGGATAGCGAGCTGACCAGCAGGGGGCGTGGTGAGTGACAGAAGACAGCATTGAACAGGAACACACAATACTGGCCTGTTTGCCTTTAGCATGTAAAGGTGGTTGCTCAGCCAGCTGAGTTTTTTTCTGTCGTCTATCAAACTACATGGTTTTGTTTCCTCCACTCCATTGTCTTATGGCTTTTATTCACTGTCCATTTACTCTGTTACTCTACTTTGTGGTGCGTCAGTAGGTGCCACTGTTACATATAAAATAAAGTGAGTTCAACCGAATGTGGGAAAAGTTGTGGAATCAGACCAAGACTGAGCATTTTGGCATTATTGTAATGCTGTCTGCTCCACCACACTGTCAGAAAAAAATGCCCAGTTTGTATCTTTGAGGGTGCAGTTACCTGTCACTGGGGCTGTACCCTGTGATGGGTTGGAGCTCCATCCTGAGTTCTCTGTCTCCAGTATAGGCTGCGGACCCCCTGTGACCCTTAAGACAAGTGGCTACAGAAGATGGATGGACGCATAGATGGGCCTGTACCCCCAAGCGTCTGCCGATTGTACCCTGTAGCTGTAGGTAAATGTACCTTTAAAGGTACAGAAATGGACTCTGAGGAACATTTTTCCACCATTGCTGGGTACCTTGTTTATACCTTGAAACAAAACTGCTCCGAGGGGATACCCTTCTCACACTACAAGTAATAGCATCACTTAGGCAGGGTTTTGCAGTTACAGTAACTGGGATTAAGTTAAATTATCTTTTGAAAAATGGGTCACATTCAGATTTCTTTGGTTGTAAATTTCTAAAAATTCATTTCAGAATTTACTTCAGCGTGGTGTCATGGCTTAACAGGTGAAAAATGGGAAACAGAACTAAAAGTACATAAAAGATTATGTTTATTGTAGTTTTTAGCATTTTAAATTTATATTTTGATAGAAAGCATCCTATACAGCATCAGGCAGGAAGTACATTTTTCTTTTTTTTTTCTCAGAAATTCCAGGGAAGGAAAATCAGCACATTTTAAGTGGTCGGAGTGGGAACATGGTAACATTTAGTGCATTTATTGCATTACAAAGCAGACATCAAAAATAAAATAGTGCAATTTTTAAAAAGTTTACCTACACAGAAGAGGAAGTCTTGATGGCGCGAGGCGCCGTCGTTCAATGCTAGGCTTTGTATTGCATACAGAATTTGTCTGATAAAGGAAACCGTTAGCTTATAATTACTGTAAAAATTGTGCTTCAGATTTCCAAAACATCAGCATTTTTTTCAATGACTGTATTGGTCCACTGGGAAGATCATCGAACAAAAGGAAGTGCATAAATTTACGAGCCTCTACCCAAAATAAATATAAAAACAAACACTTTCTAAAAATAGTAGGTATTGACCTTTTTTGGTACAAGTAGTTTGAGAGTATTTTTATCAGTCGTTGCATAAATATGACTTTATGATTTAACTAACAAAAACATAAACACGGCCAGATATTTTTTTAAAAAAATAATGTAGTGCATTTTTTGTTACACTGTGTTCGGATTACAATTTCACTGACGCAAGTTACACACTCTTGTAGTTCTTAATGCGGCATGAAAGATGAAATGACTACCAAAATCTTACAAAAAAAATTGCGTGGGTAGACTCCCAAGTCTGCCTTCCCTTGGAAAACTGGAATGTTTCTAGAGGATTTTATTCAGAAAAGACCACTGTGAATTACAGCAAGTTATTTTTCAGTGGTCATAAAATTATTTATTCTTTCACACTGATGCCTGTATCAGTGATATGCTAATGGAGGATTATTTCATTGTTCTTTCATCATCTAGTTGAGAAAAGGTTATTATGTGTTGCAGAATACCAGTATGTCATTATAGTACCTTTGGTACTAAATTGACGTTGACAATACTGACATTGGGCCGATATAAAACCTCTTCAGTGTACCCATCAATTTTAATGAGGCAACGATGAATGGCATTCCCTGCCTTTATTCGCATTTAATAATTTAATAGTAAACTTTGTAATTTGCCTAATTTACGGGACAAGTAAACAGAATCACTTGATCCTCCTTTAAGTAGGCCTATTTTTTCCTTTATCGGTTTAAGTAAACAGATGCATTCTGAACCCATGTATTTCATCATGCGAAATAATACCATATTTATCATGTAGGGATGTTTTCGGTGTTCTGTGGTCTGTATTCTGTATGACGCAATATTACAATCCTAGTCGCTCCTGGGTGGTTTCCGCCAAAAGCTGTCAAGTTAAAGAAAGACGGAAGCCTGCGTGGATGTGTGCTATTTAAATAGGTGTACGAAAAACAGAATAACTCTTTATAATGCGGGATACGACAATATTAATGAAAAGGAGAAGAACAATGAATTCATCAGTAAAATATATCAGAACTGCATAAAGAAACAATCAGGTTTCATGCAACACTTGCATAGGATTTTTTTCGGTCATGCTTTTTTTTTTTTAAATACATAACGATAGCTAAAGATTCCCGTACGATGTGGAAACAGACGGCAAAGCTGCAGTACACTTTCAGGGAGCTGCACTGTGTTGGCCGGGTAGACGAGCAAGCGGACCGGGCAACCTCTACAGCCAGCTGGCCTCAGATCCCATTCAGTCCCATCGACGTTTCCCGTGATGGAGTGAAACTTAAGTCACAGTAGTACCACTACATTTATACATTCTTCTTAATAAGTCAGTAGCCGTGATCAATAATGACTAGTCTGATATTGCACGAATCGGAAATAATGACTGAAAATGCAGACTAGATGAGCTGGCTGTTCGTTCCAGAAAACGCGCAATGTGCATCACTTCATGAAGACATACCGATCGCAAAGATCACCGGATCAGGACACTACAGGTAAAAGCATTACGACCTCATAATTTAATATACACCTATGCTGGGAAATCTGGCACTCGCTAAGGTCATTCTGGATAAACGCACTAGAAAGGAAGTGATCGGTCACTTTAAAATGCTTAAGTGATTTCTATGAGCTAAGCTACTGGGTCAATAATAGTTTAACAGCTATAGGGAAGAGAATTTAACTACCGAGTTAAATTCCCGAGGCCTGAAAATAAAGATTCAGGACTGGTGTTTTTTTTACGGGGTAACAGCGCTGGTTTTCATTTTGGTATTTTGTGACCTGTTTGCCACCCAGTATATTTCAAAGTCGTGTTATTATTATTAGTATTATTATTATTATTATTATTATTATTATTATTATTATTATTGAGCTGTACTTGAGTCAGCGGAAGACACTATGTGACGGAAAGTGACCGCAATTTGGTGCCACAGACATGCTGACGGGCATGCAGGGGGCAGAGTTGGTTTGCCGGTGCGTGGGAGGGGGAAGCTCGTTTCTGGAGCGATTACAGTGTGCAAACGATCCTCCAAATGCAATGTTAGCCTGAAGCCATGGGATGCAAAATGTCCACGAGACACAACGGACAGAAAGGATGGCATATGGATGCGGGTGAGCTACAGTACAGCCAAACTACAGTGCCTCCACCTGTCACGATAAAGAACAGCGCCGGGAGAGTCCTGGATTTTGTAAGTAGGCAACTTCTGTAGTAAAGTTCATATTACTGAAAAGACATACTCAGCTTCTGTATATCATACATATAATACATATATTGTGTTCAGTATAGTAGATACCAGTAAACACTTGATACTGTAGCGGAAATACAGGACTAGATTTTTTTGGCAAACTAATCTGGCATTTTTGGCCTTTTTTCTTCAATATTCTGCTTCAAGATATCAATCAATCTACTACAACAAATAATTTTAAATTCGCCTACTTGATTGATGCATGATTTGCTGTCCAGAACAATAAGGATTACCAGTGCATGTGCTATAGCAGAGAGGAGCCACCAGAGGCCACTGATTCCCAGGATGTGTGTGTGTTTTTTTTATTTATATATATATATATATATATATATATATATATATATATATATATATATACACACACACACACACACACACACATATATATATATAAATATATACATATATATATATATAAAGTGTGTGTGTGTGTCGATCATCTCTCAACAACTTGCAAAGCATTACAAAGCAGACTGTTGCTTATATGTCAATATAGACAAAATTGTCCTTATCACTGTGGACTACTCAATATACATGCAGAATTCACTGTGCTTAAGAAATCTTAACCTATAATTAAATTAACTGGTGGTTATCCATCTGTTTAGCCTGCTTTGCTAATTTGTCGTTAGTGGCACCAAGACTTCCAAGGTATGGGATGGACCGACTGGCAGCGTGAACGAACCAGCAAAATGACAACCGACAAGAACATCCATCAGTGCTTTGGGAGGGACACATCTATGTGTATGAGATGGGGGAGAAGCCTGGCGATTGTTAAGGCATGGACCATTACATTCGGTCAAGTCTTAAATGCATGTGCGTGCAAGGGAGAGGAAGAGACACAGAGCAAGCCCCTCCCCCCCCACATGGAAGGAATGATGGTATCTTCCTAATGGCAATTTCAAATCTGTCTTTAAAACATCGGTCTGATTTTCCTGCAAATCTCACCCGATTTTGCTATGAATTTCCGTCAGAGATGTTTAGTTAGATCTCAGTACTCTGGTCTAACCCTGTAGCTTGCCTATCTCTTTTCAAGTTTCAAGTATGCTAGATTTCAAACAAATGAATAAATAAACGATATATAAACAATTCAATAAATAAATAGCACGATGGCACCTTAATCATGAATAAAGACTGGAAAGACAAACCTATAGTGTACTGCAGCTTTACAGATACAATTTTTACCCATATTTCCTCCTATACACTCGGCACGCTTAATATTTTCTTCTTAGCTCTACATCCTAACAGTGTAATCATTGTAGCATCTCTTTGAAACAAGGTACAAGTTGATACCGACAAAATAAATTGTTGCTAATGACAACCAAGCCTCCCTTTAATATGTACAATGTCTTCAGATGCATGGCCAACCTCCAGAGTAGATGAGAAGCAGGCGTTCCTGCTTCTTTGTACTCCGAAGGCTTCTGGAATGCCTGACCTTAATGTGCAAATCGTCCTAAAATAATGATACTCGATATTTAAACATGCAAATGATAACGACGCACAAACTCTGAGGATATTAAGGCCTGCCAGACTGAACGGTCCACGTGAGAGCGCCCCATGTGGCCAAGCACCTTCACGACAACTACATACATGACAGCTACGCATCCCTGACGCTTTTCTGAACTCCCTCCAAAAAGCTTGTCAGACACGCCCCCATTTTGACAGAAGCTTGACATTCGGGTCGGGTTGGTGGGCAAGGAATTTATCAATCTATCCTAACCTCTTCACCCTCCCTTCTTATGGCCCCATCTGACACGCCTGCGCTGGGGGTTCGACAGTTCAGCCAGAACATCTGGTTGTTTCTGGAAATAGCAGATCCCCCGAAAGTCAGCTGGTTGCTGATTTTTGGGAACAGCTCGGTCCTGGACGGAAGCTGACGCCCAAGATGCGTGTCTTTCATCTGATTTCCATGCGTTTACATTTGTGAGTGCTGGCTGGGGGTCAGGGGTCAAGGGTCACGGGTCACAGAGCAGAAAGGCAGCTGAATACTACTCTGGACTGTATTAGGGAATTAAGGTAATTCCCTAGATAGGCAGTTAATCGTGTCGTTCGTAATAATTAACCATAACTCAATCAGACAATAATTTTGATAAAGGAGAGGGGGAAGAGGGAGGAAGAGAGAATGAAGGGCTGGTGGCCATGGAATCGGAAGCAAAAAGTCTCTTGCTTAATAATAGGACACACTGCACATCTAAACGCACACACACACAGACAAGGGCCTTAGCACTGCTCTATGTGTCACCCTGTGACCCTAAATTATATGTGCCTTCAATCTGACCTCAGTCTGGGGGAGGTGGGGGCAGTGATCAGAGATTGGCCCCACCCTAAATGCCCTGGCCATTACAGTTCTGGATACCACAAACAAGAGGACCTGCATCAGTTCACCCCCCCCCCCCAGTTATAGGGCCATTAAATACTCACTCGTGGCTCTGATCCAGGGGGTCTTGTAGTGGCTATTAGGTTCTTAATTGATCCCTCTTACTTCTAAAGATGGGTGGAGATGAAGCAAATACAACAGATTAGAGAAACCAATACATCCTCAGCATGCCCTCAGAAGGTCAGCAGGTCAACACTCGCCCCGCCCCCCGCGCGGCCCCACCCCAGCCGCAACCCAGCCCCCATATTCTCTCCACTCTATGATATATTAATGTTTCCGGGGGCCCCACTTGGACTGGCTTCTCTTATCTGTTGCCTTGTTCCTTCCTAATAACCCTCTGAACACCGTCTGCCAGCAGACTGCCAGACCTTCACTGGAGGAAGCATCCTGGCATTCGGGCATTAGGGCTCACGACTGTGTCCATGGGATGATGTGGGGGCAGGGAACCACGGGAATACAGCAGGTACCCTGTCTCTATACCCCCCGCCTCCTGCTGCCGTCCAAAGGCTGTGGCACAATAGGCCCCATCCCAGGTGGGAGTGAAGCCGATTGGACCAGAGGCCTGTCAGTGTAGGTCACCTGTCCCACATGCACGAATCGTAGCCCATCCCTGCCACAAAGCCCCGCCCCCTGACATCCTCAAGCCCCCACCCCCAGTCTCAGTAGTGGTCCCTCGGCCAGGGCCGAGCGCGCTGTCGGCTGTTGCGCGGGTTGTGGCTCCCCTGGGCGTCACGCTGCAGCAGGCGGTCCTGGGATTCATGCCCGTTGGCACTGTGCACGCCGGCGGGGTGGCTGCGGTGAGGTGGGTACATGTCGCGGTAAGTGTGAGCGTGGCGGGGGGGCTCGTACTCCTCTTCCTCCTCCTCTTCCTCCTCTTCCTCCTCCTCATCTTCCTCCTCGGGGCAGAGGCGGCGCGAGCCCCCCCTCCTACCACGGGACAGAGAGTCGCTGGCCTCGTCGGAGGGCATGAGGCTGTCCTGCTCCACGGGTGAGTGGGGCTCGGCCACGTCGTCCTCGTCGGCACCCCCCACCTCCCCCCCGGAGAGCAGCTGCTGATCCTGGCCGGGGGGGAGGGGGGTGGGGCAGACAAGGTCAGAGACAGCGTGTCAGAGCCAGGCCTGAACCCTGCAAAGTAACTCCTGTTCATTTCTCACAGGTATTTTTTCTTCCAATAACTTTCACTCCAAAGAAAAATGACTCGTGTATTTACAGCAGCCCAAAATTCAAATATGGATGCATGTCTGCAATGGGCATCTTTAAAATTCCCTTGGCTGAAACATGTTAAGAGCAACACATCAATAAATGACTGTGCCCATTTTCAAATTCTGAAGTTACAGAGGGTATGAAATATATGTGCGTGTACAATAAAATACACATTACACAAGGAACTTATGCACAGAATATTTACATTTGACTATTCTTATATATGGTGTTTATATTCTCAGTATAAGATATAATGTATATTCTGTGTGTACCGCAAGATACTTAATTTATACTGTTAATATTATACTGTTTATGCTGTTAATTTATACTGTTATAAATGTGTATCCATTACATTTCATATGTATTGGTTTTATAGAATATTGTAGCGTAACGCAAAATGCATTTTCCTCTGGAGCAAAACAGCCACTCATGCAGGCTGCTTCACATAAGCCTGTCCGGATCATTCTGGAATCAGTGAGGGTCGCATACAGGGTGGGGCACTGGATACAGGTATCTCATTCACAAAGAGTAAGAGGAGTAAGAGTCAGCAGGAGCTGACGGCGTTTTGGTTGGTCAATGCTGCGCAGGCCCGCCATTGGCCACTGAGGTTGTTTTGCCGATTTCTGTTATGGAGAGCTTCTGCTTTGTGAATCTCCTTGCGGGGTCTAGGGAGTTCACTGCCGCCCGTGTCCGTGAGGTGAAGCGACGGACGAGGCGCGGTTAGGGCGGCAATGAGGAGCGTGTTAGGAAGTGTTAGGGAGGTGAGGAGGCATCCCGTTCCTGTCGGGATGGGCAGTAGGAGGCAAGGTGAGTCGTGCTCAACCCTATTCCATTTCATTTTGGGTTGGGGGGGTAGGGGGTCAGGGTGGGGGTGCTGGGGTGAGGAATGCACATAGATCATCCCGCCTACTCACCCTGGCTTGTGTATGCGATCATTCAATTAATTCCTGTGTCTCAGAGAACTGTAGAAACGTTAGGCAGGGGATGAGGGAAGAGGTCAGTTCGTAGAAGACATTTACACCACGTCAACAGTAGAGGGCGCTGTACAGATGCAACAACAAAGGTTGCGGCATGAGAAAGTCGGGGTGCGGAAATGCTAAGGTGACTCTGCCGGCACAGCTGTGTAACAGGATCCCCACACTGTAACACTGACCACTAGTGATGGTCAAATGAAGCTCCATGAACCATTTGCTATATTTTTTGACCCCACTAGATGGTGCTCTGTGTTTGCTTTGGGGCTTGATTTGAGCCCCTTTTTGTTCATAAAGCACCATCTAATGGGATCAGAAAATACAGCAAGTGGTTCATGAAGCTTCATCTGGCCATCACTACTGACCACTTCCTGTTTCCACTTATTAGCCTAATAAAAAAGATCATCAAACTACATGATCTGTATTTACATCCCGTTTTTGAAATACTTTATTTCCTGCTACATAGACATACTGTTCAACCTTATGTATGGTTCAGCCATATCTTTAAATTAAAAAATGTTCTTGTCTAATGTTATGCTGACATTGCCCAGTTCTTCAATGTTCTTCACTCTTATTAATGACTGTAAGGTCAATTTTGGATATTTATTTAAAAAATGAAAAATAGTGCCGACTACAGGGCACATGATGATGGACATTTCTGGATCACTGTTATTTCATCAGAGGCCCCCCAGCAAAACTGCTGTAACAAACTATAACTGAGTACATAATAACGACTGGCCATAATAATCTCTTCCTAACCTAATCCAGAGGCCCTCTTCATCCATGAACGACCCCTATTTGGGTTTTTGTGTGTACTTTTCTTCTAATTTTTAACTCGTCCACTAGTTTTTTGAACATTGACCTTATTTGGCACATATAGTTGAGACACGTGATCAGTAAAAATCACAGGCTTCTGGAAGGACACCTATGGATGTAATGAGGGGGCCTTTCCATGCTGGGCACCTGGGACCCGGGGGAGCTCAATGCGATTGGCTGTGTGCTCAGCCACGGAGGGTGCCTCACCTGCAGGCTGGAGACGGCTGAGGGCGGGGTCATGAGGCTTTGTTCCAGGAGGGGGTTCATGGGGCCAGAGCCAGGCATGTGAGTGGCACGCCAGTACACCTCCAGGTATTCGGCCAGGTGCTCGCACGCGTCCTCCAGCTGGTTCTCATCGAGGATGACATCGAACATCTCCTGGTGGGGAAATGTGCCGTGAGGTAGCATCAGCTTCTGCTGCCGGCATCCACGCCTTTGCCTCTGTCTATATTTATACATTCATATATCGCTGAGTTTAGGCCCTGCTTAGCTGGTGCTTCCATCCTGATATTTTTAGCCAATTTATACAGAACATATATAATATCCCAGAGCGAGTGAGATCAAGAACATCGCTCACAGGGGCCTCCTGGGAGCAGCCGCATTCAGGTTAGAAGCACACATACTCCCTATCTGCCCCACTGTTATATCTGCTCCCTAGAATCAGGCTGCATCACGAAGGCATAAGACTCATGGACAAGAAGCATCCATCATGATCGAGAGGAAGAAGACCCTACCTGGGGGATGGGGTATGGAGGACGGGGCAAAGACAGGGTGCATATTAAACCTTCCGTCGCTGAGAGTCAGACAATATACCGAGACTGGAATGCAATAGGGAACAGGGACGGCTAATCCAAAGAGGTAGAGGAGGTAGAAGATTAAATTCTAAAACGTGTAACTCTGAAATATCTCATTACAAAAATTTTATGGTCATTTAAAAAAGACATTTTCTCTCTCTGGAAAAGTCGACTATTGTAGTATTATAAAATGATGGAAAATGTTACCTACATTTAGCACTTGTAGGGAATGTAATAAATTCTGTCCAACCACACCGAGGCCTATGCAGAAATATTCTACTCATATCATATGAATATATTGACGGTACGGTGTAATGTATTCATGTGCAGGCTATTTATACATGCAGCATCATGGCTCCAGGTGTGACCGGAACCTGCTGTGCTGGCTGGATCTAGGTTACCTGGAGCGGGCTATAACTCAGGGAGCAGAACACAGCTGTGGCAGATGGGAAAGAAGCAGGGCTTATCTCTCACTCACAGGGGGGCACTGGGCCAGCTTGTCTCCGGCCATCATCTGTACGTTCAGGTGCTTGCTTTGAGATTTCCCCCGAGACTTGATCAGCCTCTGTAGGACCTGGAGGAGAAATGAAAAGAAAGGTGGGAAGGAAGTATGCATGATTATGACCAGCCCTATGAGAGGGTGAAGCCAATTGGACCACTCCAATGTAGCCCTCCCTACCATAAACCCCGCCCCCTGAAATCCTCATGCCCTGCCCCCAGTCTCAATAATGGTCCAGATGCACCATCCATACTTGTACTATACTTCTGGGATGTATACTCCTGTGGCTCAACAAATAGAGTGTTTTACTAACAATGCAAAGATCACAAGTTCAGATCCCCCACACGTGTATATTACAACCCTTCTCTGCCAAAGCTGCTTTGGATAAAAAAATTTCAGATAAATGAGTCTGATGCATGTGTCCTGGGTATATTTTCCTTCATACAGATGTAAACTCCACATGCCCCTTTGTTCTTGACGTTCCTTCAGCAGGGAGAATAATCATTCCTGTCATTTATATAAACGTCGAGCGTAATGAGCCCTGGCAGGGAAGCAGCAGTGACACGCGATGGCGTCCTACCTTTGGCGAGGAGACCTTGACATAAACGATGATGGGGGCCAGCGAGGTTTTGGCGAGCTGCGCCGGGTGGTTGATGGTATCCGCGTCCAGAACCACTAACTGCAGGGTCTTGGCCAGCTCGAAGATCCTTTCGATTTCACTCTGGACCTCCGCTGTCAGGGAAGTGCACACGCTTGGTGAGCGACTCTCCTAATAGCCAGCAAAACAGTGGCTTAGCACGCGTTCTTTTACGCAGCTGTATGCAGGCCAGCTGGCATGAGAATAATTTTACATGATAATGTAACACATGACTTCCACAGCGGTATAACAAACATCTCCCGCTCAACAATATTTTAACTCATTAAATATAAATGAGGATTCCAGATATGAGGTTTCAGATATGGAATAATGAAAAAATCCATATGTTTCCATCTCATTAGCTGCCACAGAGAGACCATAGGTGGCATTTGAAGAAGCTTCCGGAAGCTTCTATCTACCCTGTTGAGCATGAAAAACTGTGGCAACCTAAAAAACTGCACGCTCACCTAAACTGGAACGCGTGTTAGATCTCTCCATGATAGCTCTCTTGTTGAGGACAGACCTCTTGGCCAAAGACAGATCAGCAGTCACCCTTGTGATGGAGATCCTGCAGGGGACCAGGCAGGTGGACGCACATCTGATCTTAGCACTTGGACACTATCGCACACCTATCTTTATTGTAACTTCTGGCTAAATAGACGATTTTCCATACACACTCTATGGTCACCGATGTGTCTCACCTCCCATCAAACCTGTGCTTCAGGAAGTCAAAGAGTGCCTTCTGCATCATGTCTGTTACCTGTAGCGGATGAAGAAAGCCCAGGATACACTGTAATGTTCCTCATGTCCGCAGGAAACATTGGCATTAATAGTCATGGCCTCTTTCATGTTTTCTTCATAACAAAGCGTAGTTTGGCTAGGATTCATGTGAAGTCTCTCCAGTTTAACGCACACACCCCTCCAGTCGCTTCCCGGCTGACATTCTGCTGGTTTCCTTATTTTTCCAGCTCTGATGAGGTGAAAGGTTTCACGGGGCTGATTTTATGATACTGCAGCCTTATTTTCTTGGCATAGTGACGTGAGCTGAAGTGGCCATTACCAGACCTGTCCATGAATATTTTAAAGATATATATTTTTAAAAAGGGGGAAGAATTTCCATGGTTACTAAGGAGGAACACTGTCAGAAATAGCTAAGAAGTGGCAGCACCTTGAGCTTTTATCTAGATGTTAGTGGGTATCTGTGAGGTTCAGGAAATGCATTACAGAGACACTAAAACTTTAATTAATTTTAAAACCATTCAATGGATCTAATCCATTTCCCTCTTTTCCTCCCCCATCTCCGGAGCACTCTGAGCATTTTGAACTATTAGCTAAGGGCAGCGATCTGTAAGTTTGCATACTCTAGAGCCCATCTCTGTACAGCAGCAGATTTAATGGAGGTATGGGTTTCACATGAAAGCTTGTTCCAACAAGCTGCAGGCCACTCAACCTCCCCCCCCCACCCCTCTGATGGTAGCGACCTCCTTTATGTCTTCTCCTACTATAGGTGGAAGGCGCCACCGATTGGTTGAGAGAATCTCACCTCGTAACCTTTCAGTGAAGGGCCAACTAGAACAACAGGCCTCATGGATGGGACCACATCGTAGGGGGGGACATGCTCCGCCTGAAGAGGAAAACAAGGTACAGAAGCTCTTCATCAAGCTGGTGCCCACTAACCCAACCTGTGTATTTGATTCTCAAGGCCATTAACAATACAGATTACTGGACTAATAAGCATCACAAGGCAGCAAAACTGACAACAGGTGATTGATATATTGCTATCCAGGTAATTTATGCTTTGAAGTAGAAGATACCCAATCAGACCTACCTGCTTTTGCTTCTGTTTGGCTTTAAAAAAATAAAAGAACACAAATGAATGAAAAATGGGAACCTTCTGCCTTTGATATAAGCTATAAGGTTTCGTGTCCACGTTCCCCTGATGTCCCACTTCACTTCTTGCAGTGCGATGTCCCAAAACCGCTTTTAACTATCCTCCTTTTCGCCGTAAACAATGGAAACATTAACATCGTAACAAGTTAGTTTGCTTAATGAGCAAGGTCACATGGTCTACCCTAACCCCCATGACTGAAGAAAGAAAGAAAGAAAGAAAGAAAGGTGGAGGGACGGAAGAAAGGAAGGGAGGAGATGGCAGCACAGAGTATGGCGTGGCCATGGTGGATGTGGACCCTAGGAGCTCACCTGCAGAAGGGGGCGTGGACCTCCACCCACCAGACACCATGTCACCCAGGCTGGAGGACGAATTCCCTCCAGTTTTCCTGCCGCCACATCGGGAATCGATTGTTAGCACATTACAGCACCATCGGCCTGGATCCAAGGCGAGCGAGCAGCTGGTTTGGTCAAGGCTGAGGGGGCAGGGTTGGGGGGTGTTTCTCACCTCTGCTGTTTCTGCTCCTGCTTGAGCCGCATGGCTTCCAGTCGGAGGGGGCTGGGGATGAAGGCGATGTCCGCCCCCTCTTTCACTAGCCTCCCGATCCACCAGTCATTATTGTATTTCTGGAACAGATGCGATTCCCGTGGTTACGTCGACCCCCCCCTGGATCTGTGTGGCCCTCCCCTCAGATCCCACGGCAGCGGCACCATTGCAGGTGCCTCTTCTCGGTCCTGCCGCAATGTGGCCCGGGCCAGTCCGCTCACCTCTTTAATGTGTAAAAAGTCTTTGGCTTCGAAGTTGATAGCAGCACCCTGAACAGGACAATCTTCATCTAGGGCCCCGCAGTAGTTGACGTTTGTCTTCACCGCGAATGCTACCGGCTTGGTCTGCAAGTCAGGGATTAAATGCCACGTCAGAAGCTGCTTTTCCTGCAGAGACGGATCTAGGGGTACTATAACGGGGGAGAAGTTAGGGTGATTCCAAGGGCCCAGAGTGACAGGGGCCTTCAAAAATTTGCGACATTATTGGATTGGTCTGGGATGGGGGCCCAATATGATATGTTTTCATGGGGCCCATAATCTCTAGCAGCGCCCCTTTTTGTCAAAATGAACAGAGCTCTGCTCCAATGGATGGAAATGCACATATTCACCACTAGGAGGCACCAGAGATCAATGGCCATGAATAGCGGGGTGAGTTTCTCTGCAAGCTACTTAGAAAGTCTGTTTTTGCACTGTTCCATGTATTGAGAACAGTTCAGATACTAAATCGAGATTCCGAAGAAAAAAAGGTTTGTAGTGATTATTCTGAATAAGAGAATTTGAATAAGAGACTTTCATAGAAATTAAAGTAGTAAGAAATTCAGTAGAGAATTTAATATTTTTTATTTGAAAATTGTAATGTGACATTTGTCTTAAAAAGCATTATGTATTATAAAAGTATTATGTGCTGGATAATGAGCTCACAATATATATTTGGGGGTTCAAATTCTCTACTAGCAATTTTGTTATAATAACATTGTACTAAACTACCCTTATTGAGTGGTTGTTTTTTTGAGTGTCAGAAGATATGCCATGGAGGCTGCCCCTTGCTCTGTGTTTCCAGGACCACCTATTGGGAGGTATGGAAGATGAGTGAATCCGATTGATGGAGGAACAAAAAGCATGTTAGCATTTTGCTAATCATCCTGTGTGTGAGGGGCGGGGCTCACCTTTGCCCTTTCGAGCTGCAGCTGGGCCTGGCGCTCGGCTTCACGCCGATACGCCTCGCGGTCCTCCTCCGCGGACAGGTCGGAATCCGAGGGTCTACTTGTGTACGAATCGGCTGAGCCCTGGTGAGGGAAGGGCTGCTTCAGTGAGCCTCCGAGCCACAAGGAGGCGCCACCATTCACACTGGTTGCAATAAATCTGGACTCCAGCTAGGTTTTACAGCTTAGTTTCAAGGCCCACTTCAGCATGCTATTGGCCGTCACCCAGCATTGAAACACATACTTCAAGATACTGTCAAATAAGCAATTCAACACTGTTGTCTGAAAAGTTGAGTTTCTATAAAGGTGACCAATCTAGAGTGGATCTGTCCTGAAAGGTGGTCTTATAGCAGCATACTGTATGTCATAAGTATATCCGAGATCCCCATTACCTTTTGCAGAGTATAACAGCATTTTACAAAACCCGTTCTTTACTATATACGGTAGTGCTGTTTTTGGATTAGCGATACAAAAAAAATGAACTATAAACATACTTTTTTTTAACCTCATACTGCAAGTCGCCCCTGTCGGCAGCCTGTTGCCCCCCCCCCACCATGCCCCCCAACTCCCAACCAGTTCCTGACAAGTTTGCCTGCCATGATAACAGGACCTGGTGTGCTGTTGGCCCCCAGGGGCTGTGCTGTATTATTGATGGGCTGTAGGAGGCGATCACACTGCTCTTCTGTGCTGGCGAGCAGGTGACATTTGCTCACAGTGTCCCCACATACACTGCCTCATCGACACCCGCTCCCCCCGCCACCAGACACACACATATGTGTACTATACATTCTATCATAGGTCACAAACTCCGCCCCCATGGGGGTGTGGCTTGTGCTGCACTGTGAAGCTCTCTCACTCTTAGTTGCCCCCACCAGGGATTCTCATTGGTGGTGGGGCAGTGAGCAGCACATATATAACCACCCCCGGTAAATGATGAATAAAATGCAGAGGAGGCTGTAAATGGCATCCCTGTCTTTTGCGCTCCAGTGCCCTCCTTCCAGTCCATGTGACACCACCCGCCACAGACAGAGCCGCTGGACAGCCGTTTGAAGCCCGATGAAGCTGCCATTGCAGCTACTGCTCGTGATGACCCCCCATCTCGTGATTAGTGCTCTGCGCTCCATCTTCGTCTAATAACGCTGAGGACAGCAGATTTTTCCTCCAGTATTCACCCTTTTTTGTTAATCACATGCACACACTCTCTCTCTCTCACACACACACACACACATACACTGGCCGTTATACCTTTGTGGGGACTCTCCATTCATTTCTATGGGGGAAACTCTAATCCCAACATGATGCCCTTAACCACTGCCCAGCCCTAACCTTAACCATGAGTAACCAAACTAAAAAAGAGACTTCTGGCATTTTTCATTTTTGATTGCATTATAAACACAAACATAATCCACACAAACATACACACACGCACACACACAAGATCCCGAGTGGAGCTTAACTCAGCACAACACGCGGCAAACATCACCAGCGACTTGTGAATAGGAACCCAAAGATACAGACACACATGCCAGTAAAGTGGTATCTCAGAGCTCGGACGCTGGGAGACGCGTATCCCATCAACGCTGCCCCAGCATTCACCCTCCTCCAGAGCGGGTCCCCACATGGGCTCGTGCGCCGGCCATGAGCAGCACCTGCTCCTCTCCTGCGCTCATGCCCCCCAACCCTCCTGGCTGGCCGCGTGGGGAAACAAACCCGAAAGCATCTGCTGACTGGCCTCTGCTGGATGTCTGCATGCTCCTCAGGCTCTCCGGAGTCCTCACACCATCAGCCGCTCTGTCCGTTAGAAGAGCACCAAGAGCAGACGGAAACTTCTCCAGAGGAAGCGGCTCTCGCACCCTCCCCCCCACCTCCTTCAGCGCTCCCAGGGCTTCTCCGTCATTAAAGCTCCTTCAGGAACCTTCGCTTGAATCAATCAAAATGGTTGGATTGTGCACCTCTTCTGCACAGCCGGAACGCCTTATCTGGCTGTAGAGAGACTGGTGTATGGAGCTAAAGCGAGAGGGACCCCTCCCCCACCGGCTCACCTTTTCGCCCCCCCCACTTCTCGCCCCACCCTGGGAGTGCAGCTCTGTACATGATGCCCACCTCCTTCCCCCGCCGCTTCAGCTCCCTCGCACGCTTGCAGATCGCCCCCCCACCTCCATTACCTGGACCCCCGCTACCTCCAGTCTTCCCCTCTCCGGCTGTCTGAACACCAGGTGCTGCTTAGCGTCTCGGAGGAAAGAGGGCACCTGAAACAACCCACCTCCACCACACACACACACACACACGCACACACAGAAACACACACACGCGAGCGCGTGTACAGAGAGGTGGCGATGCCCACGGAGCTCCAAGCCGCGGCGAGCGGGAAGCGAACTGGAGACAGGAAAAGCCGAGAGCGCTGCGGCGGAGAAACCAGCCTGTGACTCACTCGCTCTCCTGATGGCTCCGGCCGATGCTGACGCCTCGGAGCCGTTCGCGTTGGATCCGGATCTCGTTAAATTATTGATCGGCTCGTTTGTGCGCTTCCCTCTCTCCCCGATGCAGCCTGCATCCCATAATCGCTAACCACCGCTTGCTTTCAGTGCAATCCATCCCCTCTTTTCCCTCGTTCACAGGCTTCCTGGAATAGATTCGCTTGCTGACGTTATGTAATCTTTTAAAATAGTGATTTTGGGGGGGATCTATATATAATATATCTTGGACTGGTATCATATGGATCTTCCTTCCCTGTTAATTAATCGCCATTTTTGCCTGTTTCGTTTTTTTGTTATCTGGGAGATCATGCATCGCTACATGCCGTCAGCTGCAGATTTACCTCATTCACTGATGTCCGTCGGGTCCTGGGTTTGCCGCAGGGTTTCACAGCTGTGCAGAGCCAATTTAACACCCGGGAGTGTTACTAACTGAACAGATCAACACTGGTGGTGTTAAATTAGTGCCGCTGCTTTCGCCGTGCAGTCTGTTTCACTGAGACTGACTTTTCGTTTTTGCCCAGCCTTTCCTCTGTAACTTTGTTGTCGCGCATGATGGTGTGAGTGAGTGGGTGCCCTGCAATGGGCTGGCATGCATGGATGAGAGTCCCTTTGTTTTCATTTTTTAATTTTTAAAGTCCTTTGCTGATCTGTTATATGGGAATACAGACTTCTACCCTTTCTTTTTCAGTTTTCTTTACAGTAAGTAGCATAGGATCCATTCAGCCGGTTTCTGCGCTTGCGGTGTGTGAAATACCTCAAACACACAAAGCCGTGAAGCCTGAACAGCTGTTATTTCAGTCTCGTCTTGGCAACGGGCTGCTCATGAGAACAGATTGAGCTCGGCTTAAACGCACTCAGCATCTTAATCTTGGGACACCAAGTCACTATCTGCCAATTCATGCTTGTTTCTGAAACTTGCTTAGTACCAGAGTAATCCAGCTGGACCCTGAACACCGGCCAATTTCAGCAAAAACTAGAAAAATCCAGGCATTGAAACGCAGCAACATCTGATGGTCACCAAGGACCCCACTAGGGGATGCGTGAGGTCTTTGGGGCTCGAGCCCCAGCCGCTCGCTAAGTAGGCAGGTGGGAAGGAGAGGACACATCGATCGTTTGAGACGCTCCCTGCCACCTTCCAGTCTCACTCGGGGCCCCCGCCGTATCCCCGGAACAAGGTGAGTGGGGGGACCAAACGGTCCCATTTATTATTAAAAATGCCCGACAAAGGAGCTCCGCCAAACACACTGTTCCTCTGATTTGCAGTTTTCTCATTCCCTGCTGCATTAGCCTGGGTATCGGGTTCGATCCCCTCTTCCCTTACAGGTCACCATGAAGTTTCAATAAGCTGGCATGGCCGGCCGCCACATCTGCGCTTCGCAGCAACCGCCTGAAACATTCCGGTAAGCTCCAGACTCTCTGGCCCCTCCCCTTTGGGGAAAAGCATAACCCTTTTCTACATATATTCCCCAAATATCCGATAAATCTGCTCTGTGATCAGGGGACCTCGTAAATAAATGAAGCTTCGTTTGCTGACAGTGGAATATGTTTTTTTCACCCAACTCATCATGCTCTCCTCTTTTAAAGGCATTTCAGGAGCTTAAGCCGCAATGGAGATGCGACTACTGTGCCAACCCCAGGACTGGAACCAGTCACTTTCCAACCACAGGCAAAGAGACTCAGCATCCCCAGCATGCTCATTTATTATCCCCAAATTATTCATATTAGGCCCCTGGTCTCCTTGCCCTGGAGTCCTGTTTGAGCTCTAGGATTTTTTTAAGGTGGGCGACACATGATGGCCTATAATCAAGAGTGACAGGGGAGGGCCAAGCTATCGGCCAATCAGCTTTCAGGCCCCGCCCCAGTTTACACCCTGTCGTTAAGCTCCGGGCCATGAGTGTTTGCCACGGTCTGGCGGTAATTATGACAGGCTGCTCAGAGGCATGGGGGCCCCTCCCCACACCCCCCACCAGCTCCTGGGCTATTTAGGGAGCTGGTTTGTTTCTGTCTCACCACAGCTGATAATTACCTGCCCGGACATCCCCACACACCTGCCCGACACACCGAGAGCAGCGTGTGTGGGTGTCTCGCGGGGGTAATTCATCAAACGCGGGTGAAGAAACTGCCAGTGACCTGAAAAAAAAGGGACAAGTGGACACAGGGAGCGCGAGCAGTCTGCACCGGAGTGACTGAGAGACGTATCAGGATGGTCACAGCAAGTTCTGAGCTGATCGCTGGTAGATCATCTGCTTAGAACTTACGAAGTTTTTGAAACACTTTCCTTAATTAACTGCCTTACAAAAATGGCTGCCACACCAGCAAGAGGCTATGAGTGAGGTCACCGCCCCCCCCATGATACTGCTGCCCCCTAGTGGCTCTTGCTAGCAGAACTCCACATATAAGAATCCACACAGGCACCATTGAGCTTTATCTACACCCCCACATGCACTTGAGCAACTATAATACGGCATATGAACCCCCCTCAACACACAAGCACACATCTCAGTATCTTCTTGCCACTGGGGACCCTCATTTGAAAAATATACCGTAGATATTTTAGTATTTTAATATCAGGACACGTTTTAGGGTTTATGCAGTCTACAAACATGATGCTTCAGTGGAACA